ATTTAGGAGCGGTTTTAGCAGTGGGATTGTGGATTGGATTTAGGAGCAGAATTATGGATTTAGGAGCGGTTTTAGCAGCGGAATTTTGGATTTAGGAGCGGTTTTAGCAGTTAGGATCGGTTTTAGCAGTGGAATTTCTTATTTAGGACCGGTTTTATAAACGGAATTGCAGATTTAGGAGCGGTTTTAGCCATGGAATTGCAGATTTAGGACTGGTTTTGGGAACAGAATTGTGGATTTAGGATCGGTTTTAGCAGCGGAATTTTGGATTTAGGACCGGTTTTAGTAGGATTGCAGATTTAGGATCGGTTTTAACAGCAGAATTGCAGATTTAGGACTGGTTTTGGGAGCAGAATTGTGGATTTAGGACCAGTTTTAACATCTCAAATCCATTTTAACACCGATTTTTCCCTCAATTCCCAAAAATTTCTCCCACAAACTTTATTTTTAACCCTTCAACTCCCGTTTTGCAGGATTTTGGGTGAGTGCAGCCACAAATTGGTTACCGCAGTTCGGGGCGGTTTTAGGAGCGGAATTTCTTATTTAGGATCGGTTTTAGTCACGGAATTGCAGATTTAGGAGCGGTTTTAGAAGCGGAATTTTGGATTTAGGATCAGTTTTAATGGCAGAATTGCGAATTTAGGATCAGTTTTAGCAGCAGAATTTTGGATTTAGGAGCAGTTTTAGTGGAATTGCAGATTTAGGAGTGGTTTTGGGAGCAGAATTGTGGATTTAGGAGCGGTTTTAGCAGTTAGGATCGGTTTTAGCAGTGGGATTTTGGATTTAGGAGCGGTTTTAGTGGAATTGCAGATTTAGGACCGGTTTTGGGAGCAGAATTGTGGATTTAGGATCGGTTTTAGCAGTGGGATTGTGGGTTGGATTTAGGAGCAGAATTGTGGATTTAGGAGCAGTTTTAGTGGAATTGCAGATTTAGGACTGGTTTTAGCAGTAGAATTGTGGATTTAGGATCGGTTTTAGCAGGATTATGGATTTAGGATCGGTTTTAGCAGTAGAATTGTGGATTTAGGACCAGTTTTAGCCATGGAATTGCAGATTTAGGATCGGTTTTAGGAGCAGAATTGTGGATTTAGGAGCAGTTTTAGCAGTTAGGATCGGTTTTAGCAGTAGAATTGTGGATTTAGGACCGGTTTTAGGAGCAGAATTTTGGATTTAGGACCGGTTTTAGTGGAATTGCAGATTTAGGACTGGTTTTAGTTACGGAATTGCAGATTTAGGATCGGTTGTAGTGGAATTGCAGATTTAGGACCGGTTTTAGCTGTGGAATTGCAGATTTAGGACTGGTTTTGGGAGCAGAATTGTGGATTTAGGAGCAGTTTTAGCAGTTAGGATCGGTTTTAGCAGCGGAATTGCAGATTTAGGATTGGTTTTGGGAACAGAATTGTGGATTTAGGATCGGTTTTAGCAGTAGAATTGTGGATTTAGGAGCAGTTTTAATTGTGGGATTGTGGATTGGATTTAGGAGCAGAATTGTGGATTTAGGATCGGTTTATAGTGACGGAATTGCAGATTTAGGATCGGTTTTAGCAGTAGAATTGTGGATTTCAGGTCAGTTTTAATGGCAGAATTGTGAATTTAGGATCAGTTTTAGCAGCAGAATTGTGGATTTAGGAGCAGTTTTAGCAGTTAGGATCGGTTTTAGCAGCGGAATTTTGGATTTAGGATTGGTTTTAGCGGGATTGCAGATTTAGGACTGGTTTTGGGAGCAGAATTTTGGATTTAGGATCAGTTTTAGCAGCGGAATTGTGGATTTAGGACCAGTTTTAGCAGGATTGCAGATTTAGGATCGGTTTTAGCAGGATTGCAGATTTAGGATCGGTTTTAGCAGTAGAATTGTGGATTTAGGAGCGGTTTTAGTGGAATTGCAGATTTAGGATCAGTTTTGGGAGCAGAATTGTGAATTTAGGACCTGTTTTAACAGCAGAATTGCAGATTTACGAGCATTTTTAATCGTTAATCTCAGTTCTAACACCGATTTTTACCTCAATTCCCAAAAATTCCTCCCACAAACTTCATTTTTAACCATTCACCTCCCGTTTCCCCAGGATTTTGGGCGAGGGCAACCACAAATTGGTTACCGCAGTTGGGGCGGTTTTAGGAGCGGAATTTCTCATTTAGGGGCGGTTTTAGTCACGGAATTGCAGATTTAGGATCGGTTTTGGGAGCAGAATTGTGGATTTAGGATCGGTTTTAGAAGCGGATTTGTGGATTTAATGTCGGTTTTAATGGCGGAATTGCGAATTTAGGATCGGTTTTAGCAGTGGAATTTTGGATTTAGGACCGGTTTTAGCCATGGAATTGCAGATTTAGGACTGGTTTTGGGAGCAGAATTGTGGATTTAGGATCGGTTTTAGCAGTGGAATTTCGGATTTAGGACCGGTTTTAGTGGAATTGCAGATTTAGGACTGGTTTTGGGAGCAGAATTGCAGATTTAGGATCGGTTTTAGCAGGATTGCAGATTTAGGATCAGTTTTGGGAGCAGAATTGTGGATTTAGGATCAGTTTTAGCAGCGGAATTGTGGATTTAGGAGCAGTTTTAGCAGTTAGGATCGGTTTTAGCAGCGGAATTTCTTATTTAGGATCGGTTTTAGAAATGGAATTGCAGATTTAGGACCGGTTTTAGTGGAATTGCAGATTTAGGACTGGTTTTGGGAGCAGAATTGTGGATTTAGGATCAGTTTTAGCTGTGGGATTGTGGATCAGTTTTAGCAGCGGAATTGTGGATTGGATTTAGGAGCAGAATTGTGGATTTAGGATCGGTTTTAGCCATGGAATTGCAGATTTAGGATCGGTTTTAGCAGGATTGCAGATTTAGGAGCGTTTTTAGCAGGATTGTGGATTTAGGATCAGTTTTAGCAGCGGAATTTTGGATTTAGGACCGGTTTTAGTGGAATTGCAGATTTAGGACCGGTTTTGGGAGCAGAATTGTGGTTTAGGATCAGTTTTAGCAGTAGAATTGTGGATTGGATTTAGGAGCAGAATTGCAGATTTAGGACTGGTTTTGGGAGCAGAATTGTGGATTTAGGAGTGGTTTTAGCAGTTAGGATCGGTTTTAGCAGCGGAATTTTGGATTTAGTACTGGTTTTAACAACGAAATTGAATATATTGCTGCAGTCTCAGCAGCCGAATCACAGACCTAGGACCAGTTTTAACATCTCAAATCCATTTTAACAGCGATTTTTGCCTCAATTCCTTTTTCTTCCCCAGGAATTTCTTCTGCAAATCCCAATTAATTTATTTTTAACCCTTCACCTCCCGTTTCGCAGGATTTTGGGCGAGGGCAACGCCGCCCTGATGCCTCTGAGCACCGACCCAACGCCGGGAAAACGCATCCGCAAACCGTCGCTGCTCTACGAGGGCTTCGAGAGCCCCACCATGGCCTCGGTGGCTTCTCTGGCGGCTCCTCAGACCAACCCCCCTCCTCCCGAGGTGTCCAACCCCAAAAAGCCCGGCCGGGTCACCAACCAGCTCCAGTACCTGCACAAGGTGGTGATGAAGGCGCTCTGGAAGCACCAGTTCGCCTGGCCCTTCCGCCAGCCCGTGGACGCCGTTAAGCTGGGCTTGCCCGTGAGTTAGGCGCGGGTTTAAGAATTTTTTAAGGGTTTTTTTGGGGTTTTTTTGGGTTTTAAGTTTAAATTTTTGTCCCTTTCAGGTTCAGTTCCCAGTTCTAAATTTGTCTCCGTTTTAGTGCTGAGATTAAGTTTAGGATGACGCTAAGCTGGGCTTAAAACGGTCCTAAAACTGTTCTAAAAATGATCCTAAAATTAATTCTGTGGTGATCCTTAAACTCAGCTCAAAATGATCCTAAAGTGATTTAAACCTGGCCTTAAAATTGGTTTCGGGATGATCCTGAAATGAATTTGGTGTTGATTTTAAACTCAGCTCAAAACGATCCTAATCTTAATATAAAGGTATTGGTAATATTAAGTAAAAGAGTTAAGCTGGGCTTGCCCGTGAGTTAGGCGCGGGTTTAAGAATTTTTTTTGAATTTTTTTTTTAATTTTTTAAGGGTTTTTTTGGGTTTTTTTTGGGTTCTGAGCTTAAATTTTCATCCCTCTCACGCCCAGGTGCCAGTTGGAAAATTGTGTCTTCGTTTAGTCTTGAGATTAAGTTTAGGATGATGCTAAGCTGGGCTTAAAATGAGCTTAAAAGCAGTCTTAAAATCAGTTTTGTGTTAATCCTAAACTCAGTTTAAAACGATCCTAAACTGAGTTAAACCCGATCTTAAAATCAGTTTTGGGGTGATCCTAAACTCAGCTTAAAATGATCCTAAACTGATTTAAACCTGACCTTAAAATTCATTTCAGGATGTTCCTAAAATCAGTTTTGGGGTGATCCTAAACTCAGCTCAAAACGATCCTAATCTTAATTTAAAAGCATTGCTGATATTAAGTAAAAGAGTTAAGCTGGGCTTACCCGTGAGTTAGGCGCGTTTTTTGTTAATTTTTTAAGGGTTTTTTTGGGGTTTTTTTTTGGGTTCTAAGCTTAAATTTTCGTCCCTCTCAGGCTCAGGTGTCAGTTCTAAATTTGTCTCCTTGTTTAGTCCTGAGATGATGAAAATGATCCTAAACTTAATATAAAGGTATTGCTAATATTAAGTAAAATAGTTAAGCTGGGCTTGCCCGTGAGTTAGGCGCGGGTTTAAAATTTTTTAAGGGTTTTTTAGGGGCTTTTTTTGGGTTTTAAGTTTAAATTTTCATCCCTCTCAGGCTCAGGTGCCAGTTGCAAAATTGTGTCTTCGCTTAGTCTTGAGATTGAGTTTAGGATGATGTTAAACTTGGCTTAAAATGAGCCTAAAACTGTTTTAAAGGTGATCTTAAAATCAGTTTTGGGGTGATCTTAAACTCAGCTTAAAATGAGCCTAAAACTGATTTAAACCTGATCTTAAAATTCATTTCAGGATGTTCCTAAAATCAGTTTTGGGGTGATCCTAAACTCAGCTCAAAATGATCCTAAACTTAATTTAGAGGTGATTTTAATACAAATTTTGTGCTGATCCTAAATTTGATTTAAAGGTATTGCTAATCTTAATTCAAGGAGTTAAGCTGGGCTTACCCGTGAGTTAGGCTCGGTTTTTTAAATTTTTTTTTGAAATTTTTAAGGGTTTTTTTGGGTTCTGAGCTTAAATTTTGTCCCTCTCAGGCTCAGGTGCCAGTTCTAAATTTGTCTCCTTGTTTAGTCCTGAGATTAAATTTAGGATGATGTTAAACTCGGCTTAAAATGAGCCTAAAACTGTTTTAAAAGTGATCTTAAAATAGGTTTTGGCGTGGTCCTAAGATTAATTTTGGGGTTTGGCTTAAATTCCACTTCAATTTCCCTGAACCCCCCCTGAAATTTCCCTCCCAAACCCCCAAAATTCCACCAAAACCTCCCCAAAACCCCACAAAATCCCCCCAAAATCACACCAAAATCCCCCCAAAATTCCACCAAAATCCCCCCAAAATCTCCCCAAAATCCCACCAAAATTCCCCCAAAATTCCACCAAAATCCCCCCAAAATCTCCCCAAAACCACCCAAAATTCCATCAAAATCCCACCAAAAATCCACAAAAATACACCAAAATCCCACCAAAATCCCACCAAAAATCCACTAAAATTCCCCCCAAAAATTCCCCCTAAAATCCCCCCAAAACCCCCCCAAAATCCTCTCAAAATCCCCCCAAAATCCCCCAAATTTCCACCAAAATCCCCCCAAAATTCCACCAAAATCCCCCCAAAATCCCCCCAAAAATCCACTAAAATTCCCCCCAAAATTCCCCCTAAAATCCCCCCAAAACCCCCTCAAAATCCTCTCAAAATTCCATCAAAATCCCATCAAAATTCCCGCAAAATTCCATCTAAATCCCCCCAAAATCTCCCGAAAACCCCCCAAAATTCCATCAAAATCCCACCAAAAATTCACAAAAATACACCAAAATTCCACCAAAATCCCACCAAAATTCCACCAAAATCCCCCCAAAATCCCCCCAAAATTCCACCAAAAATCCACTGAAATTCCATCAAAATCCCATCAAAATCCCCCCAAAATCTCCCGAAAACCCCCCAAAATTCCATCAAAATCCCACCAAAAATTCTCAAAAATACACCAAAATTCCACCAAAATCCCCCCAAAATCCCACCAAAAATCCACCCAAAATCCCCCCAAAATACCACCAAAATCCCCCCAAAATTCCACCAAAATCCCCCCCAAAATCCCCCCAAAATCCCCCAAAATCCCCCCAAAATTCCACCAAAATCCCCCCAAAATTCCACCAAAATCCCCCCAAAATCTCCCCAAAATCCTACCAAAATTCCCCCAAAATTCCATCAAAATCCCACCAAATTCTCCACCAAAATCCCACCAAAATCTCCCCAAAAACCCCCAAAATTCCATCAAAATCCCCCCAAAATTCCACCAAAATCCCCCAAAATCCCCCCAAAATCTCCCCAAAACCCCCCAAAATTCCATCAAAATCCCACCAAAATTCCACCAAAATCCCCCCAAAATCTCCCCAAAATCTCCCCAAAATTCCACCAAAATCCCCCCAAAATTCCCCCAAAATTCCACCAAAATCCCCCCAAAATTCCACCAAAATTCCATCAAAATCCCATCAAAAACCCCCCAAAATCCCACCAAAATCCCTCCAAAATCTCCCCAAAACCACCCAAAATTCCATCAAAATCCCACCAAAATTCCAGCAAAATCCCCCCAAAATCTCACCAAAATCCCTCCAAAATTCCACCAAAATCCCCCCAAAATTCCACCAAAATCCCCCGAAAATCTCCCCAAAACCCCCTGAATCTCCATCAAAATCCCACCAAAAATCCAAAAAATACACCAAAATCCCACCAAAATCCCCCCAAAATCTTCCCAAAACCACGCAAAATTCCATCAAAATCCCAGCAAAAATTCACAAAAATACACCAAAATTCCACCAAAATCCCACCAAAAATCCATTAAAATTCCCCCCAAAATTCCCCCTAAAATCCCCCCCCCAACCCCCTCAAAATCCCACCAAAATCCCCCCAAAATCTCCCCAAAATCTCCCCAAAATCCCCCAAATTTCCACCAAAATCCCCCCAAAATCCCAACAAAACCCTCTCAAAATCCCCTCAAGAATATCCCAAAAATCCCCCCAAAATCTACCAAAACCCCCCAAAATTCCCGTTTTTTTCGCCCCCATCCTTTCTTTTTGGTTTTTTTTTTGCCTTTTTCTTTCTCCTGAGCCCCAAAATTGTGTTTTTTCGCCCCAAAATTCAGGATTATCACAAGATCATCAAGCAGCCCATGGACATGGGCACCATCAAGCGGCGCCTGGAGAATAATTATTACTGGGGGGCAGCTGAGTGCATGCAGGACTTCAACACCATGTTCACCAACTGCTACATCTACAACAAGGTAAAAAAATGCACCAAAAATGCAGAAAAACGACCCAAAAATCGCACAGAACATGCACCAAAAAATTCCATCGAAAACGGCGCAAAAACACCCGAAAACGGCCAAAAATTACGCAAAAATACGCCAAAAATCACCCAAAAATCACCCCAAAATAGCAAAAAAATTACCAAAAAATACACCCAAATATCATCCAAAAAACACACAAAATTGCAGCCAAAAATCGCAAAATAATACACCCAAAAATTGGCCAAAAGTCGCACAAAAACAGCCAAAAATACACCCAAAAATCCACTCAAAAATCCACTCAAAAATAACACAAAAATCACCCAAAAATAACCTGAAAATACACCCAAAAATGAGCCAAAAAATCATCCAAAAATCACCCACAAATACACCTAAACCCACCCAAAATCTACCCAAAAATACACCCAAAAGTCACACAAAAATTACCCAAAAATCATCCCAAATGTACCAAAAAAGTCACCCAAAAATGACATTAAAATATCAACCCCGTGTTCACCAACTGCTACATCTACAACAAGGTAAAAAAATGCACCAAAAATGCAGAAAAACAACCCAAAAATCACACAGAACATGCACGAAAAAATTCCATCGAAAACGGCGCAAAAATACCCAAAAACGGTCAAAAAATACACCAAAAATCACCCCAAAATAGCAAAAAAATTACCAAAAAATACACCCAAATATCATCCAAAAACCACAGAAAATTGCAGCCAAAAATCGCAAAATAATATACCCAAAAATTGGCCAAAAATCAGCCAAAAATCCACTCAAAAATAACACAAAAATCACCCAAAAATAACCTGAAAATACACCCAAAAACTCCCCAAAAATGAGCCCAAAAATCATCCAAAAATAACCCAAAAATACACCTAAAACCACCCAAAATCTACCCAAAAATACACCCCAAAATGACAAAAAATACACACAAAAATTACCCAAAAATCATCCCAAATGTACCAAAAAAGTCACCCAAAAATGACATTAAAATATCAACCCCGTGTTCACCAACTGCTACATCTACAACAAGGTAAAAAAATGCACCAAAAATGCAGAAAAACAACCCAAAAATCACACAGAACATGCACAAAAAAATTCCATCAAAAACGGCGCAAAAACGGCCAAAAACGGCCAAAAAATACACCAAAATACACCAAAAATCACCCAAAAATGACATTAAAATATCAACCCCGTGTTCACCAACTGCTACATCTACAGCAAGGTAAAAAAAACGCACCAAAAATGCAGAAAAACAACCCAAAAATGACACAAAACATGCACAAAAAAATTCCATCGAAAACGGCGCAAAACCGGCCAAAAACGGCCAAAAATTACGCAAAAATACATCAAAAATCACCCAAAAATACACCAAAAATCAGGCCAAAATAGCAAAAAAATTACCAAAAAATACACCAAAATATCATCCAAAAACCACAGAAAATTGCAGCCAAAAATCGCAAAATAATACACCCAAAAATTGGCCAAAAATCTCACAAAATCAACCAAAAATACACCCAAAAATCCACTCAAAAATATCACAAAAATCACCCAAAAATAACCTGAAAATACACCCAAAAACTCCCCAAAAATGAGCCAAAAAATCATCCAAAAATAACCCAAAAATACACCGAAAGCCACCCAAAATCTACCCAAAAATACACCCCAAAATCACAAAAAATACACACAAAAATTACCCAAAATTCACCCCAAATGTACCAAAAAAGTCACCCAAAAATGACATTAAAATATCAACCCCGTGTTCACCAACTGCTACATCTACAACAAGGTAAAAAAAACACACCAAAAATGCAGAAAAACAACCCAAAAATCACAAAAAACATGCACAAAAAAATTCCATCAAAAACGGCGCAAAAACGGCCAAAAACGGCCAAAAATTATGCAAAAATCACCCAAAAATCACCCCAAAATAGCAAAAAAATTACCAAAAAATACACCCAAATATCATCCAAAAAACACACAAAATTGCACCAAAAATCGCAAAATAACACACCCAAAAATTAGCCAAAAATCGCACAAAGTCAGCCAAAAATACACCCCAAAATCCACTCAAAAATAACACAAAAATCACCCAAAAATAACCTGAAAATACACCCAAAAACTACCCAAAAACGAGCCAAAAAATCATCCAAAAATCACCCAAAAATAAACCTAAACCCACCCAAAATCTACCCAAAAATGCACCCCAAAATGACAAAAAATACACACAAAAATTACCCAAAAATCATCCCAAATGTACCAAAAAAGTCACCCAAAAATGACATTAAAATATCAACGCCGTGTTCACCAACTGCTACATCTACAATAAGGTAAAAAAATGCACCAAAAATGCAGAAAAACAACCCAAAAATCGCACAAAACATGCACAAAAAAATTCCATCGAAAACGGCTCAAAAACGGCCAAAAACGGCGAAAAATTACGCAAAAAACACCCAAAAATCACCCAAAAATCACCCAAAAATCACCCCAAAATAGCAAAAAAATTACCAAAAAATACACCCAAATATCACCCAAAAACCACACAAAATTGCAGCCAAAAATCGCAAAATAATACACCCAAAAATTGGCCAAAAATCGCACAAAAATCAGCCAAAAATACACCCCAAAATCCACTCAAAAAAACCACAAAAATCACCCAAAAATAACCTGAAAATACACCCAAAAACTCCCCAAAAATGAGCCAAAAAATCATCCAAAAATAACCCAAAAATACACCTAAACCCACCCAAAAATACACCCCAAAATCACAAAAAATACACACTAAAATTACCCAAAATTCATCCCAAACGTACCAAAAAAGTCACCCAAAAATGACATTAAAATATCAACCCCGTGTTCACCAACTGCTACATCTACAACAAGGTAAAAAAATGCACCAAAAATGCAGAAAAACAACCCAAAAATCACACAGAACATGCACAAAAAAATTCCATCGAAAACGGCGCAAAAACGGCCAAAAACGGCCAAAAAATACACAAAAATACACCAAAAATCACCCAAAAATCACCCCAAAATAGCAAAAAAATTGCCAAAAAATACACCCAAATATCATCCAAAAAACACACAAAATTGCAGCCAAAAATCGCAAAATAATACACACAAAAATTGGTTAAAAATCGCACAAAAATACACCCAAAAATCCACTCAAAAATAACACAAAAATCACCCAAAAATAACCTGAAAATACACCCAAAAACTCCCCAAAAATGAGCCAAAAAATCATCCAAAAATCACCCAAAAATACACCTAAACCCACCCAAAATCTACCCAAAAATACACCCAAAAAAATACACCCAAAAGTCACACAAAAATTACCCAAAAATCATCCCAAATGTACCAAAAAAGTCACCCAAAAATGACATTAAAATATCAACCCCGTGTTCACCAACTGCTACATCTACAACAAGGTAAAAAAACGCACCAAAAATGCAGAAAAACGACCCAAAAATCACACAAAACATGCACAAAAAAATTTCATCAAAAACGGCCAAAAACGGCCAAAAAATACACCAAAAATCACCCAAAAATCACCCCAAAATAGCAAAAAAATTGCCAAAAATACACCCAAATATCATCCAAAAACCACAGAAAATTGCAGCCAAAAATCGCAAAATAATACACCCAAAAACTGGCCAAAAATCGCACAAAATCAGCCAAAAATACACCCAAAAATCCACTCAAAAATAACACAAAAATCACCCAAAAATAACCTGAAAATACACCCAAAAACTACCCAAAAATAAGCCAAAAAATCATCCAAAAATCAGCCCAAAATAGCAAAAAAATTACCAAAAAATACACCCAAATATCATCCAAAAACCACAGAAAATTGCAGCCAAAAATAGCAAAATAATACACCCAAAAATTGGCCAAAAATCGCACAAAATCAGCCAAAAATACACCCAAAAATCCACTCAAAAATAACACAGAAATGCACCCAAAAATCACCCAAAAATACACCCAAAAACTCCCCAAAAATGAGGCAAAAAACCATCCAAAAATAACCCAAAAATACACCTAAACCCACCCAAAATCTACCCAAAAATGCACCCCAAAATCACAAAAAATACACACAAAAATTACCCAAAATTCATCCCAAATGTACCAAAAAAGTCACCCAAAAATGACATTAAAATATCAACCCCGTGTTCACCAACTGCTACATCTACAACAAGGTAAAAAAATGCACCAAAAATGCAGAAAAACAACCCAAAAATCGCACAAAACATGCACAAAAAAATTCCATTGAAAACGGCGCAAAAACACCCAAAAACGGCCAAAAATTACGCAAAAATCACCCAAAAATCACCCAAAAATCACCCCAAAATAGCAAAAAAATTACCAAAAAATACACCCAAATATCACCCAAAAACCACACAAAATTGCAGCCAAAAATCGCAAAATAATACACCCAAAAATTGGCCAAAAATCGCACAAAATCAGCCAAAAATACACCCAAAAATCCACTCAAAAATAACACAGAAATGCACCCAAAAATCACCCAAAAATAATCTGAAAATACACCCAAAAACTACCCAAAAATAAGCCAAAAAATCATCCAATAATCACCCAAAAATACACCTAAACCCACCCAAAATCTACCCAAAAATACACCCAAAATGACAAAAAATACATTTTTTTAGCCCACGGATTACATTGTGGTGCAGAAGTCAAAAAAAGAAATCAAAAAGAAAAATTTTTTGATATCCAAAAATGCGAAAAATATTGAGAAAAAAAATTGAGAAAAAATTCCCAAAATAATTTTTTAAAAATCCCCAAAAAAACCCCTAAAAATTAAGAAAAAATCCTATTAAAAATCCATGAAACTGAGAAAAAAATCCAGAAAAAATATGGAAAAAAAATCGAAAAAAAATCCAGAAAAAAAAATCTGAAAAAAATCGAAAAAAATCCAGAAAAAAATCTGAAAAAAATCGAAAAAAATTTCAGTAAAAAATCAGAAA